AAGCGAAGTAGAGAAGACGAAGGCGCCTTTTTAGGAGGATACGGTCTACGTATAAGGCAGGACAATGATTGCCAACATATGGAGGAGGAGGAGGACAGTGGCCTCAAGGAATCTAACCGATGCGCGGAGGACGCAGCACGTTGCCAAATTGACTACATTGAAGTAGTTCAGCAAGGCGATGCACAGGTAGGTGTAGAGAAATTCTAAGTAGACCAATTCGTTCACTGACATCAGCACGTTAACGTAGTGTCAACTCGGCTCCTCCTCCTCTTCCAACCACTTATACAGAGGTTGTCTGCCTATCGCAGTACGAAAGATGTAAAAAGTTTTTAACAGCCCAGATTAAGCATTTTTCCAGCTGCCCTTTAAGTGGAGTTTGTCCTCGGGATAATTCCTCACGTTTCCACCTCCCCTTTACATTCACTCAAACATAGAGGTTCATTCCACGTTGACTTGTGAGACTGTCTGGCGAATCAACGAGATTATGTTCACTGAAATGGCACCGTGTCTTGTTTTCGACTAAACGGAAGGAGGAGAATGCTGAAACACTTGGATTTGTGGGTTTTTAATCGCACATTATGTTGAATTTACAAATCGGACTTTATCTTTAAGTAAATTACGTCAGACAGTAGCGAATCTACACCCTATCCTTCATTTTTCCAATCCTATTTATAAACCATCACCTTCTACTTCCCATTGCATCATCTCACTTTCTCCCTTGTCTCTTCTATCATTTCTTGCCACCCTCACCTCCACCCATCACTTATACCTGCAACAAGGTTCAGGAAGGCTTGTTAAGTTGAGCCACGGGTTAAAAAGAGGCAATTCGTTCTGTGTATCATCGTTTGCTAGATTTGCCTCATTTTGTCTATGCTCACTCTGCTCATCAGCTCCTCAGGTCTCACACAACCCAGCTTGTCCACAAAGCACCACATCTCCCCATCACTCGCGTCCAGCGTGCTCCAGTGATTGCACGTTGTCAGTCACGCGAATTTCAAGTCGTCTTCGAGCCGACGATCGATGAGCCAGGCACATCGCAGTTGTGACATTCCGGTGACGTGGTGATGATGTGCGGGAGTGAATTCGTCTATGTAACGTTTTTCTGTGCCTACCTGGGCTTCGCCTTACTGAACCACTTCAATGTAGTCAGTTTGGCAACGTGGTGCGCCCTCTGGACATCGGTCAGATTCCTTGAGGCCACTGTCAATTGTAAGTGTGTGTCAATGAACTGCCTCCTCCTCCCACTCCTCCT